GGCTGAGGGCTGTTTTCTGGCTGGCGAGTGACTAAAGCTTACAACCGCTCCTTGTTTTCTTCTTCTTTTTTTTTTTTTTTCTGGGCCAGCTTTAGCTCTGAGGCCTCGCTGCTGAAAACATAGATACAATGTTGCGGTCCGAGCCCGGCTGAATGGAAGCCCTTTTCTGGGGTTTTGTTTAGCTTCTTATTTGCAACATAGTATATAGTTGCTTAGAGTTGCAACTGAGAGGCTGGCAAGTGAGGCGGGGAACGTTGGAGTCTGCAGCAAGCAAGCCTCCCTGCTCGCTTCAGTGCCTGGCTGCCGGCCGCCATCTTGGCTGACAGTTAATTTGGATATACTCACTGATTAGCCAATGAAAAGGGTAGCGGTCGTACGCCAATTACCATGTTTCTCTTTTATTAGTGTAGATAATAGAGATATTAAGACATTATTAGTATCTTCCCCCAAAATAATTAAAACAAACAAATCTCACACAACATACCTGGAAAATATCTGGCAGTTTTCGAAGTCTTGTACCTTTGGACAGCAAAAGAGATGGTGGTCCCTGCCCAGTGACATGGTAAATGTACAGTTTAAACCACACAGAACTGACTTCTGGGATAGCTGGTCCAATATGCTGTAACAAAAAAGCAGGTAAGGTAAAGCTGTAATACTTAGCTAAAAAAGCCAAATTTCCTAAGTGACCAAGTATACTCATATTAAAAGCTAATTCCTCATATAAATGTTAATTGCTATTATCCTTATGAAAATAACTTTTAAATTCTCTGTTCAAATAGTTTCTCTTTTGTGCTGGAACTGAGAAAGCACATCTTATCACTGCAGTTAGAGGATGGACTTTGAAGGACCACCAAGGTCTGAATCTGGGCTTCATCCCCTCAGCCGTATCACCTCTAACATTACTTAACGCTCTCTATTCCCTCATTTTGCTCTTTTGTAAGGTAGCAATAAAACATCTACCTCATAGGGGCATTGTAGGGTTGTTTAAAAAGTTTAAAATAGTAAGCTTTATATAAAAATGTTTGTCATTATGATTATTAATCACATACAATTTCTCCCAAAAGGGACTGTCCTCCCATTCATTTACAGTTCATGAACTATTATGTCTAGAGGTTGCATTACAGAATAGGAGGGAGTGTGGAGTGCAGTGGAGTGGTACTGGAGGTAGCACACAAAGAATTATTAAAAAGGTTGGTGAATGCAAACCTATAACCACTCCAGTTGAATAGAGGACAAATGTGGGGGGAGGGTGTGCTCACTGGGGCAGCTAGATCAGCACAGGCAACAAAATCACCCGTGTAAAAGAATCCCTTCCTTTCTTCTACACCATTAAACCTCGCACAGCTAGGAAACCAGGCAGGATGTAACACTGAAAAAGAGTAACACAATCCCCACTCTTTGAAAATGGTACAGACCACAATGCCCTTGCTAAGTATACAAATCCACAGAACTGATTTATTTTTTAAAAGTAAAAGCTGGAAGTCACAAGTAAATTTTAAAGATAACCAAAGTTCTACTTCCTTTCCAGTACAATTGTTTCTTTTCCATTTAGTCAGAGTCATAACCCCATTTCTAAAGCATTTCATTTTTCCTATTTAAATTTATATTATTCCTCAAGGCAATACAGACTCCCCTCTCAGAGCTTCCAAAAATATTCTCTTTAAAAGACTACATTCAAGAAGAAAACTTTAATCTGCTATGTTGCAAGTCACCAGATGATACATAAATAAAATGTACCGATTATACCTCACAAATTGAACATAACATCTTACAACAGCATAAAATACAAAACTGCTTTCTGAGTCAGCAATTTGAATCTGGTATCTGCAAACTGAGAATTAACCCTGTAAGACTGTTAAACCTCTTCTTCAAGTCACCACAAGTACGAATGAAGTGACAGCACCGGCCTTCTGCCAAGTGGGTCTTTACCTGAGGGGTGCAGCTGCTGATAGGCCGAATTTCATTGGTGAGAGGAGCCATGGAAACAAGTAGTGTATAATTTTTGTTTAGAACTCTGCTGCAAGTTGCAGGGTCCAAACCAAGAAGGCTTTCACAGCGTAAGAGATCCAGAGGAAAACCTGAATTGTGACCAAGCACACACAGATAATGAAAGACTGACAATATGAAACAAAAATGTCCAAGACAAAATATTGATTACCTACCTTTATGGACCAGCAGTCTAGGCACATATATCTAAGTGCGGAACTCCTGTTCCTAAACTAAATTCAAAACTTGGCTGAGATGCTGTTTGTAGAGATTGGGAATTGGGGGAGGGAAGGACACAGCTTTCCTGTGGCACTCGGGCTTTCATCATGCCATTGCCCGGGGTGGCTGGGGATGGAGAGGAAGAATGGCAAAGCAAGCACTTTTTAAAAAGTAAAAGGTGGCCTAAAGAAACACCAGTAGACAGTTATCTTTGGACCAGTAATAAAGACTATTAGCTTTAAATCTTAAAAGTGTCTTCTTAGTGGTCCCTTAGGACATTTGGCACTTTTAATATTCTATCTTTAAAAAAAAAGGGGACTATTTTCTCAAAATATAGGAATGTCATAAAAGAAACTTTTAATATTCTATCTTTAAAGAAAAAAAAAGGGACTATTTTCTCAAAATATAGGAATGTCATAAAAGATAAAAAAAAGGTTACGGATTTGAAAAAAATGAGTTAAATTAAATGTTCCAGTGGTGCTAAGAATTCACGAAGTCCTAAGATGCAACTCCTGTGAATGTCCAAGGACTTGAGCCAAATGCTCTTACACTGGTGCTCAAGCCATTCCACCTTTTAAAAACACACATTCCTGGGGGCCATTCCACAATGCAGAACCTACTGAATCAGAATCTGAAATCCTGATACCATCAGTTCAACTCTGGTTGGGGAACACTCCCTGCCTATCACAAAACTGAGAGTGCACCCTAAGGCAACAGCCGCCGGGAGTTCGCCAATACATTAAAATTGCCACCACTTTCTCTTACTCTTTAAAAAGGGGTTCTGTTCCCAGTCTATTTTTTAAAGTAAAGTACTTCAGTAAATAAACATTCCAGCAGTATTTGAATAAGAAACTCCTATTTATTGTTTTTAATGCAATGGAAACTTTCATTCTTGAAATTTTATGCTTCATAATATATTTAACTCAATTTTGCATCTGTCCACCCCTCAGAACCAATGCCTGTTCCAAATTCCACTCAGCTACTTAAACAAATTGACAGTCCAACCCTGTTTGTAGGTACTCATCAGATTTAAATACTACAAATGTCAGTTGCACATAAGAGAGGAGAAATAGTAGAATAAGATAAGAAACAGTTGACAAGCAAAGAAATTCACATGACAAGCCTCTAGCTATAAGTTCATTATACTTACAAAAATGTATTAAGTAAATGATGATTAAGTGGGCATGACCTATTTAATTTCTTAGAAAGAACTTCCATAGGATCATGTCTTCAAAATCAAGTATAAAACTCATACCATAATTGGGCTGGTCTGGCTGTGCAGTTTGTGCAACTAGATCTTTATTGTGACGAAGAAATAGTATCGTGTTTCTCAGAGTAAGTGCATGGTCAAAATATCTCTGTGCTTCTCCTTCACCAGTGCTCTGAACCTAAACCAAGAGAAAAAATTTCCAACAAATATCATTCTTATGCCATTCGTTCTAATATATCCTATCTAATAATAGACAAACATGGTAATTAACCATACCTCCGCTACACTTCCCATTGGCTAATCAGGGTGATATGCAAATTAACTGCCAACCAAGATGGCGGCCGGCAGCCAGGCAGCTGAAGCGAACATGAGGCTTG